TCGCGGCTGCTGAGCCCATGGCCACTAATCTCTAATGCGGCTCGCGCTCACTCGGCAAATGCACCGGCAAGCCTCCGGTCCACATACGACGAAGTCGCGGAGGCGGGAGGGTGAATGGCATCGCGCGTGTGCGCGGCCCGCGGCGGCAGTGGCTGTCACGCTCGTGCCACGCCCGTGAAGCCGTAGAAGCGCCGCTCGCCTAGAAAAAGAAACGCGTCGGCGATGTACCTCTGCCTTAGGTGACGCCGCAGACGCGCCGCTCGCCCATCGCGATGTTGCGCACGTCGGCCAGCGTCAGCTCCTTCTCCGTCCCGACGCCCGAGCCCGTCACCTAACGAGATTGCACGAGATCACCCCGAGATTGCGCGAGATTCCGTCCCGACGCCCGACGCCCGTCACCGGCACGAGAAAGCGCGCCCGCAGCGAGTCGCCGCCCGACGTGGGGTCCATCACCTGGCGAGATTGCACGAGATCACCCCGAGATTGCGCGAGATTCCGTCCCGAAGTCGGGTCCATCACCTGGCGAGATTGAACGAGATCACCCCGAGATTGCGCGAGATTCCGACGTCGGGTCCATCACCTGGCGAGATTGCACGAGATCACCCCGAGATTGCGCGAGATTCCGACGTCGGGTCCATCACCTGGCGAGATTGCACGAGATCACCCCGAGATTGCGCGAGATTCCGTCCCGACAAGTCGGGCCCATCACCTCGGCAAAGGCGATGTCGGCCTCGGCGGCGTCGGTGGGCGCGGCGCTCGGGTTGCAAAAGCAGCTGTAGGTGTCATCGGCCCGCCGGACGATCACGTCGCCGCGGCACTCGCTCGTGACGGTGTGTATGGTGCCTGCTCACAGCAGCAGCCGTGAAGAGACGCCGTTCACACCGCACTCGCTCGTGACGGTGTGTATGGTGCCTGCTCACAGCTGCAGCCGTGAAGAGACGCCGTTCACACCGCACTCGCTCGTGACGGTGTGTATGGTGCCTGCTCACAGCTGCAGCCGTGAAGAGACGCCGTTCACACCGCACTCGCTCGTGACGGTGTGTATGGTACCGGCCAAATCGCCGGGAACCTCCCCCTCCCAGTCCACGCGCCGCCGCACGCCGCCCACCGTCACCGCGCCGTGTGCGATCTCGATCGCCCTGCCCAAGTCGGCCTGCTCGAACGCGGGCTTCACCTGTTCACACCTGCAGCCGTGAAGAGACGCCGTTCACAGCTCGGCCCGCTGGAAGGGAGGGAGTGACCCGGCTTCACCTGTTCACAGCTGCAGCCGTGAAGAGACGCCGTTCACAGCTCGGCCCGCTCGTAGGGAGGGAGTGACCCAGCGGCCACGGACGGTACCGGGCGCAATCGAGAGGAGGGAGGGCAGCCGCGCCGGGCTGAGCACCTGGTACCATACACTCCAGGGTCTCGAACCCAGCGTGGGTTCGGTCCTGTGGCCGTAGGGTGGGGCTGAGCACCTAGTACCATACACTCCAGGGTCTCGAACCCAGCGTGGGTTCGGTCCTGTGGCCGTAGGGTGGGGGCGCAGCACCCAGTGCACCCACGGGATGTCGCGCGCGTGCTCAGAGGCCAGCACCATCTGCGACCTCGTGCGCTCTCCTCCGCGCGGCTCAAGCTCGTTGTTGTTTGGCTGGATCAGCGCGTCCACCTCGCGGCTGCCGTCGGCCAGCTGCACCAGAGCGAGCGAGACCACGCGGTGCACCGAGTGCACCTGCGGCCGGAGATCTGGGGAGATCTGGGGAGATCTGGCGAGATATGGCGAGAGATGGGGAGGTGTGGGGAGGTGTCGGGAGATCCTGCGGGAGATCGTCGTCGAGGTCGATCTCGTCGTCTGCGAAGATTGCGGTGAAGCCTGCCGCCGGGATGAGCGTCTGAACGGTCGCCTAACAACGACATGCCGCCCGCCGTCAAAAAAAGAAAAGCGCCCGGCGCGGCGAGGAGCTGCTGCGGCTCGGTGGCCTCTGGCGGTGGCGGCGGCGGCGGCGGCTCCGGCGCGAAGAAGCGAGCCGGCAGCAGCCGCTTATCGATGGCCTGCTGCAGGCCTCCCGCCTCCTCGTCGAAGGCTGTGGCCGCTGCGGCGTCGGTGGCGGTGCTGCAGCTGCTGTGCATGTGCGAGTAGGCCCTCGCCTTGATCGCCGTGAGAAATCCGTCGAGGCCGAGGTACTCAGCGAGCAGCAACACGCGGGTGGCGAGGCCGACGTCGCCGGGCGGCAGCAGCACGCATGACGGCACGCGCATGTGCGAGAGCAGCACGCCAAACGCGTCGGCGTCGCAGTCGAGGAAGATCGGATCGTCCGGCGTCGCCTGCAGGAGAGACGCGTGCGGACGTGGAGCGGCGGCACGGCAATCCTCGCGTGCCGCACGGTGATAAGGAGGGATGGCAGAGCGGTCTCAGAGTGCACGCCGGGCAGCTTGCGGCGTCTGTGTTGGCGCACCGGGCTCCACCGCACGAGGAGTGAGCGAAAGTAGGAGGAGGCACCCTCGAGCGTCGAGCGCGATGAAACGAAGCGAGTGCCGCCGACATCGAGTACGACACGGCCGGTGTGGACAGGCGCTGCAGCTGGTGCTGCGCTGCGCTGCCGCTTGGGCGCCATCACCTGGTCAGTGGCAAAGCAGGGCTCGGGGAAAAGAATTTTTAGTCGCGATCCCTCGCACAACACTGGGCACGGGACTGGCTCGCACTGGCACTAACACAGGTACACCACGGGGAAAAGAATTCGATTTCGCCTTTGTGCCTCGGACGCCTCGGCGGTGCACCTCAGAGTCGCGTTGGGTGGACGCTGGACAGGGGAAAAGAATTTATTATGCGCCCTGCTAGTTGGACAAAAATATGCGTTTTTCGGCCTCCCCTCCCTAACATTAGCCGGCCAAAATGTGCTCTCGCCGGTTAATATTAGGGAGGGGGGGGCGGTCGGGTGTCAGACCTAGCTCTAGGCGTGCGAGGCTGACGTATTTTGGACAATCCCACCTACCAGGGTTAAGCGTTCGACACCACGACCGGCGCGCCATGTATGTATGTAGAAAGATGAACAACAGTCAGGCTCGGACAGGACGCGCGCCGCGATTTTAGGCGAGGTCTTCTGCCGCTTCGACGCCGACGTGGACGGCGCCTGGTCGACGGCAGAACTTCAGTCTTTCGCGCGCACGTGCAACGGCGGCGAGGAGTTCGGCGAGGCGGAGCTCTCGCAGGTGGGCGAGTTCACCACGAACGGGCAGGGCAGGCTCACGCGCCGCGGCTTTCTCGAGATGATGCAGCTGCAGACGATGGCGCGGCCGGAGGACACGTGGGCCGATCTGCGTGCGCTTGGGTACGACTCAGCTCTCTCGCCAAAGGGCGTGCCCGGCTCGAGCGGCGCCGAGGCGGTATCATCGGAGAAGCCAGAGTCGGTGGCATCGGAGCGAGAAAGTAGAAGCTGAATACGTATCTAGCACTCGAGAGGACACGTATTCAGCTGTATTCAGCAGTGTGAGATTAAGTAAAATGCGGTACGACACCCTGACATTGCACCGGACATATCTCCCCCACATCTCCTCATAGGAGCGGGATGCCCGCCTCGCCCGCACGCTTCAGAGCAAAGCGGACGCAGAGCTGGCGGCCAAGCTTGCCGAGAGCCTGCAGGCAGCCGGCTGCTGGAGAGCGAATGCCGCTGCCGTGAATGGCCTCTCTTCACACTCGTGGGTGTCAACAGGCGGAGCTGATCGTCGAGGAGCAGGCGTCGTCGTCGGCGGCGGCGGCGGCGAAGTTGGCGAACAGCGGCGGAGACGGCGTGGGGAAGAAGAAGTCGGCCTGACTGAGGATGAGTCAGCACTGGCGGTGGCGGAGGCGGCGGAGCTGGCGGCGGCGCTCGAGGAGAGCACGGCGTCGTCGCTGTGTCGGGTGCGAGCGGCCACAGCCTCGCCCTCACCGCCGATGGCGCCGTTTGGAGCTGGGGCCAGGGAGGCTTTGGCCGGTTGGGCCACGGCGACTACCAGAGTCAGCCGCTGCCGAAGAAGATCGAGGCCTTGGCTGGGCGGCGCGTGATCGTTGCGTCGGCTGGAGAGACCCACAACCTCGCCATCACCGCCGATGGCGCCGTCTGGAGCTGGGGTGGTGGAGGCTCTGGCAAGTTGGGCCACGGCGACCGGCAGGACCAGCCGCTGCCGAAGAAGATCGAGGCCTTGGTCGGGCGGCGCGTCGTCGCCGTGTCGGCAGGGGACGACCACGGCCTCGCCCTCACCGCCGACGGCGCCGTCTGGAGCTGGGGCGATGGAGACTGGGGCCGGCTGGGCCACGGCGACCCGGCGCATCAGTGGCAGCCCAAGAAGATCGAGGCCTTTGCTGGTCAGTGCGTCGTCGCTGTGTCGGCTGGAGCATTCCACTGCATCGCTTGCACCGCCGACGGCGCCGTCTTCACCTGGGGTCATGGCGGCCACGGCTGCCTAGGCCACGGAGAGGACCTGTCGAACCAGCTGCTGCCCAAGAGGGTCGAGGCGTGGGCGCCGGAGCGCTTGGGGGTATGAGGACGCGGCTGGCAACAAAACGAATGCCGCTCCCGCTTCTCGCACCCCTCCTGCTGCACGTGGGCACCGACCCCTTTGAGGCCGACCCGAAGTCGCGTGTGGCGATATGGACTTGCTGCTGATGCTGATTGGTGCGCAGATGTGCGAGATGAGAGCGGGATTGTTTGGCGCGTGGCAATAAAGACGTCTGTCCTCCTTGTCCTCCCAGCCCTTGTTTCATGTTTGGAAATGGGATGCCACCTCCGTTTTCTTTTTCTTTCCGGGGAAAAAGCCCCACACCGCTCACCCACGCGCACTGGGCCTTGCACTTTGAATGCCGTGGGGCTCCTGTCGTCAGACGTGGAGACGCGAGGGTTGCCCCCCCTTGCCCCACCACCTCGTGTGTGTGGAGAAGTTTACCTTACCTTACCTTACCTACCCTCTAGCTCTACGTTACTTTTTAGGTCTCTCTAGCCTGTCCGACATGAAACAAAGCCTGAAAAGGGGCTTCTTTTACGGCTCTATCTCACACTCTCTCGGTCGAGGCTCTCGACGCACAAGCGCGCGAGGGCAAGCGAGGCGGTCAGGCCCGGCGACTCGATCCCAAAGAGGTGGACCAAGCCCGCCACGCCGTGCTCCGACGGCCCGCTCAGCACAAAATCCGCCGACGGCTCGCCGCGGCCGCTCACCTGTGTTCACACCGAGAGGCTGTGAAACAGGCAGCCTCTTCGCAGCAGTCCAGACAGCCAGCCAGCCAGGCTTTCAGCTCTCGCCTTTGGTCGCACGCCCGCGTAGTCTGGCACCAAGCCGCCGTCGGGCAGATCCGGCCAGTACTTTCGCACCTCGGCGTAGAATGCCGCCGCGCGGGTCGGGTCCACCTGCACGTCCTCCGCGTTGCTCGTCCACTCGACGTCCGGCCCAAAGCGGCAGCGGCCCGCGAGGTCGACGGTGGCGTGCACGCCGAGCCCCGCCTGCTGCGGCAGCGGGTAGACGAGGCCGCGGAAGGGGCTCGGCCGTCCACTCAGGGCGAAGTAGGTTCCCTTGGCGAAGTGAGCCGCCGGCACGTGCGAGCGCGGCATCCCCCCCAAGGCGGCGGCGAGTCGCGGCGCGCCGTGTCCCGCACAGTTGACGACCTCGTCACATGCGAGCTGGGTGCCGTCGGCTGTACGAAGCAGCACGCGCCCCCCGGCGCCGCAGCCCGCCACGGCATCGCTGCCACCGCACTCCCCCCCCACCACGCTGCTGCCGAGCGCTAGCGTCGCCCCGTGCCGCTCTGCATCCGCCAGCAGCGCCGTCATCAAGGCGTGGCTGTCGACGATGCCTGTCGAGGGCGAGTGCAGCGCGCCCACACAGCGCACCTCTGGCTCCAGCCGCGCCGCCTCTGCGGAGGTCAGGCGGACGAGAGCCTCGCCGCTGCCGCTCAGCCCGTTGGCGCGCGCCTTCTCCGCGACCGCGTCCAGCTGGGCGAGCTCTCCCTCCTCGGTGGCGACCAGCAGCTTGCCGCATCGCGAGTACGGCACGGCGTACGCCTCGCAGAAGGAGTAGAGCGCTCTCCGGCCCTCGACGCAGGCACGCGCCTTCAGCGAGCCTGCGGTGTAGTAGATGCCGGCGTGCACGACCTCCGAGTTGCGAGACGACGTGCCCGAGCCGGTCAGGCTCTCTGACTCCAGGAGGAGCACCTCTCGGCCCGAGCGAGACAGCGCACGAGCGACGGCGAGACCCACGACGCCGCCGCCGACCACGGCCGTCTGCACGCGCTCGAGCATATATGCGGACCGCCGGGAGGGCGCGCGACGCCGGCAACGCAGCGGTGAGGCAGGTCCGGCGGGAGCTTGCGCAGGACTGATGAAAATACTCGAGTGGATTCCAACTTTTTGCAGGGGGGGTATGGCCTTGACCGCCCAAGACTAGCCCTCGACAGGGTGGGGGGGTATGGCCCTGACCGCCCAAGACTAGGCATCGACAGGGGTGGGGGGGTATGGTCCCTCGGCCCCTCCCTCTACTGCCGCCGCCGAGCCCGCAGCGCCATGAGGTAGGAGCACGCGCCCGTGTCGCGGAGCTGCTGGAGCGGCTCCACGCTCCACTCGCCGACACCCTTCTGATTGCGGAGCGCCTCAATGTCGCGCGAATCAACATAGCCGTCGTTCAGAATGCTCGGCAAGATCTCGAACGCCAGCTGTCCAAGTTGGTTGACCTTTGTGTTGCGCTCCATCTTATATATTTGCGAGGTTACGCATCTCGGTGACCAGCGCGAGCATCGATGCCTTGGTGCAGCGCCAGCAGAGAGTGAATACGAGCTCGAGCGGCGGGGTGGTAGGCTGCGGCTCAGTCCGACTCGGAGGAACGCCGCGTGTGAGAGTGATGCTGTCACCGTGGCCGACCTCACGAGTGGTCGAGCGCCGAGGAGCGGTGGACGGTGTGGGCAGAGCGGGATGGGTCGACCGGCCAGGTCAAGTTCACGGCCCGCGTCCTCTTCGTGTGCAGCGGGTACTACAAGTACGACAGAGGCCACACGCCACCCTTTCTCGGCATTGACGACTTCGCCGGGCGGGTGCGCCGCAGACGTGCAGAGAGCCTCTCCGTTATGAACAAAGGTGCCGCCAGTCAATATGGTGACATATATTAAGGAGACATAATGGAGACATGACGGAGACAAAGGAGGGACATAACCGGCGTGACAGGCCATGCTCATCTACTGGATGGCGCAGAGGTGCCTCCCTCCCCCCGCCTGGCGCACTCCCCCGCCGCCAACCCCAACGCCGCTCCACCTGGCGCATGCTGCGCAGGTGCCCGCAGCTCGTGAGGGGCCTCCTCCGCCGCTGGGCGAAGGTAGTAAGAGTAGAGACGGTAGAGTAGAGTAGCAGTGCTCTAGGCAGTGTTGCGCAACTACCCAACATAGCAGCGTAGCGAGCAACGCAGCAGTGTTGTGCGCAACGTCGCACAGGCGAGGCTGCCCGACGGTTTCGCCGTCGACGTGCACTTCAAGCCGAGGTTGCTTTTGCGCGGCACCTGTTGTGCCCCCGCATCGTCGCATCTCGGCATGCAGCGTCTCGGCGTTGGTAGGTACGACCCGTGGGACCAGCGGCTGTGCGTCGTCCCGGACGGTAAAGCACCCCCCCCCCCCCAGTTCGAAGAACCCCACACTCGAACCCCACACAACGCAGCCTTGACCTCCCCCCAGGCGACCTCTTCGCCGCCCTCAGCTCCGGCCGCGCTTCCGTCGTCACCGACACCGTCGAACGCTTCACCGCGACCGGGGTGTGCGCCGTTCACTGCCGCGCTCAATCTGTATGGTGCAAGCACCTCTGCTCTTGTCATCGGCAAACTAACCGGAATGAGATTGCGAGCAGGTGCTCCTCTCCTCGGGCGAGGAGCTGAAGGCGGACCTCGTCGTCACTGCGACCGGCTTCACGCGCTCCAAGTGATGGGCGGCGCGGCTGCTTGGGCCGTCAAGACTGCGGAGGGTGAAGGCAGACACCTCTGAGGCGCGACTGCTGTCAACAGGCGCGGAGCTCGTCGTCGACGGCGAGCCCGTCGCCTTCTCCGAGCGGATGGCGTACAAGGGCATGATGCTGAGCGGAGTGCCGAACAGCGCGTTCACCATCGGCTACATCAACTCCTCGTGGACACAGGGGGCGCCAAGCCCCCCCCCCCCCCCCCTCCTCCCCCTCCCCTCCCCCCGGTGCCAAAGCCCTCCAAGCCCCTGCCTCCAGTCCGCTGGAGCTCCTCTTCACGCCACGCGCTCTGTGAGGGACAACATCGTCTCTGAGTATGTGTGCCGCATCCTCAACTTCATGGACGCGAGCGGCTCAACAACAACAACATGTACATGTACATGTGCATGTGCATGTGTTGAGCAAGAGACTGCACGACACCGACCTCTGTACCTTCTATCACCCTAGCTGCCTCCAAGTTGCCTCCGCCCAACCCTCGGTCAGGTCCCGCGCGCCGACCGCTCGACCCGGCGATGGAGCGGCACGACTTGCTCGACTTCGGGGCCGGCTACATTCAGCGGTCGATCGACGAGCTGCCCAAGCGAGGCGAGGCGTGGCCGTGGTGTCCGCGCATGTACTATGTCTCCGACTTGCTCTCCATCCGCCATGGGGCGCTGGTCGACTCGGCGATGGAGTTCCGCCGGCCGCATGCCAAGCCCGACTGATGAGACCGAGCGGCGAGAGCGTTAGCAGTAAAAGCACATAGCAAAAAATGTGGCATTGAACAAGATCATCGCTCTCAGACGCGTCTGTTTTTTCCGTGAGAATATACGGCTCGAAATCAGTGTATTCGTGCGGCTTTACGCCCCGTACCGCAAAGCTGGTACACAATAACCAGACGCCTGGCTAGTGGCTACTGGTAAAACGAGATACGTCTCGTCACAACTTATAGTACATAGTGTGCACCCGCGACCCGCCACACCCGCATCCAGCCCTCACGCGCCGTCGGCGGCGCCGCGCTGTGCGGCGAGCAACTTGGCCTGCACATTCTCCTCGAGCGTGATCGACGGGTACTTCGGATTCTCGCAGTCGCACTTGGCTGACGGCAGGCAATGCACCGGCATACTCGGGTTGGGGCCGGTGAAGTACACCAAGCTCAACCGGCCGCACGCGGCGGCGGCGCTGCCCGCGGTAGGCGCCGGCACGCGGTGCCTCGTCGCTCGCCAGCGGTCGTTCGTCCAGCGCGCCATCAGGTCGCCGATGTTGATGGTCAGCGTGTCGGGCAGCGAGGGGACCCCCGCCCAGGAGCCCGTGCGCGGGTCTTGCACCTGTCGGACCCGGACATGTCGGTGGACATGTCAGTGGACACGTCCTGGCCAGCAGCCTAGCGGACGGGTGCTGCACCTCGAGCCCGCCGTTGCCCTCGCCGCCCCCCTCCACGGGCCGCTGCAGGATGGTGAAGCCCTCGTAGTCGGTGTGCTCGCCATACCGCAGCTGCCCCTCCTCGCCCGGGCCGGGAGGGTAGTACGCGAGGCGAAGCGTGCAGCCGGGCTCAGCATAGTAGGGACCAAAGTGGCTCGCCTCGAGCCCGAGCGCGAGCGCGGAGAGCTCGAGCAGGACGTGCATCAGCGCCGTCGCCGCCTTCCAGTACTCCGCCGCCGCTTGCCGGAACCGTTCGGGCAGCGCGCGCGCGAAGGGCTCCTCGAGCCAAGGCACCTCGCACGGGTCGCGCGACCGCCAGCCTCGCGAGCCGTTGAGCTCGCTTCCGTAGCCCGAGAAGTTGAGGCCCTCGACCTTATCCGCCACCCGGTTGGCAGCGCCGACGGTGGCGGCGACATTCTCCTCGCCGATGGCCAAATAGCCGAGGAGCCCGTCGATGTGCGAGCGCATCTTCACCTCGCGCGACTCGGTCTCGAAGAAGACGGTCGCTGCCTCGCGCAGCGCGGCGATGGCGGAGGCGGGGAGGAGGGACTCGTACCCGACGAGCTGGCAGAAGCCGACGCCCGAGAAGGCGGCGTCCCACTCCTCGGCCAGGCTCGCCTACGGGACACGTCACGGACATGTCACGGACATGTCACGGACACCTTCCACTCCTCGGCCAGGCTCGCCCGCTCGGCGGCGCCGCCAGCCACGAAGCGCGACACGTCGATGGTGGGGAGGGTGCAGACGCGTGCGGGGAGGGGAGGGGGAGGGGCGGGGAGGTCCGCGAGGGCGGGCGAGGGCCCCTGGCCGGTCGGTGGGCGGCCAGCCTCCCACGCCGCAAACTCCTCTCGCAGGTGCGCCGAAGCGGCGAGGGTCTGCGCCCACAGCGCCTCGGGGGACCACTCCTTGGTGACGCAGCTCTGGCCCGTGAAGTAGCCAGGCCCGTACTCGGGCGTCACGATCGCCTCTCTCGCCCCCGAGGCGGAGAGGTTGCCCCAGACCGTCCTCCACATCGCGACGTGCGCGCGCACCTGTTCACGGCGCTGACGTGGGAAGAGAGACTGCTCGGCCTGGGCGCACCGCGCTGCAGACAGTCCGGCTGGACGCACTTCTCGGCTGTCCTGCGTGACCCAGACCGTTCTGCCTGCTCTTGTGGCTACGTCGCGGCTACATCTCGGTCCGCCGCACCGCGTTCCAGTCCGCGTCTTCGCCCGGGGGCGTCTGCGCGCTTTGCCCGCTGCCGATGCGTGCGTGGACGTGCTCGACGGCGAGGTACGCCTCCCCGTGCAGCCAGCGCCTCTCTGCCGCCACACCGGGAGGAACCTCCTCCTCCCTCCTCGCCGCCTCCGCCAGCGCGGCCTCGGCCGCGCCCCACTCCACGTTCGCCGCGCCGAGCGCCTCGGGGTCGGGCCTGTTCACGGCTAGAGGTGTGAAGAGACGCTGCTCACGCTCACAGCTGGCAGAGCCTCCGGGTCGGGCCTGTTCACAGCTAGAGGTGTGAAGAGACGCTGCTCACGCTCACAGCTGGCAGAGCCTCCGGGTCGGGCCTGTTCACAGCTAGAGGTGTGAAGAGACGCTGCTCACGCTCACAACTGGCAGAGCCTCCGGGTCGGGCCTGTTGGTGGTAGGCGCAAACCCGACGATCCGCTCGCTAGAGACGTGCCAGTGGGACACATCCAGCGTCAGCTTCAGCCGGTCGCGCCCGTGCTTGGCCAGCAGCCGGCGCGTCGGCGTCGGGTGGAAGAGGGGCCGGCCTCGGTGCGACTCGTGCGAGACGCCGCTGCGGGCGCCGGTCGACAGGTGGGCGTGTGTCGCGAGGAAGGCGTCGATCCGTGGGAGGGCCCCGCTGTAGTACTCGTCCGCCTGCGCCTCGTCAAACGAGTCGCAGCCGCCGTGGATGTTGATGTGAGCGAGGGTCCCAGGCGCCGCCGCCTCGAGCTCTGCCGCCTTGGCCAGCTCCGCATCCAGCGCCGCCAGGTGCTCCGGCGGCGTGGTGAATCCCGGGTGCGCGCCCTCGTAGCCGAGCCAGCTCGTGTAGGCGGCGTATATTAACCTCAGCCCTCTCGCTTGGAGGAGGCGGCAGTACTCGACCCGCTCCTTCAGAGAGGCTCCGAGCTCCTCTGCGGTCGCCTCGACCCCTGCAAAACCGCGAGCGGATAGCTCGTCGAGAAAGCTGGCGATGCCCCTGGAGCGGATCATCGCCGTGCGGCCCCAGGTGGCGACAAAGATGGAGAGCTGCATGTGCTGCAGTCCCGAAGATGGAGCTGTCGACCACGACGGAGCTGTCAACCACGACGGAGCGATGGGGGGTACCTAGCTAGGGGGGTACAGGCAGGGCGTCTACGCCCTCTCTCGAGGTTCTCGAGGTGGATATCCTTTGGCCGCGTTGGGTAGCGAGGATTGGTGTAACCTTATACAGGCCGTGGGAAGTGACAGGACGAGAAAAAAGTTCGCGCCTAAATTTGCGTAGGTAGGTCCCTTGTCAGGAGCAGGAGAGCCCCACCTGTCCCCCTGATCGTCCTTCCAAAATCCTGCTTACGCAGGTGAACGGGGGCGGCGACGACGGCGGCGGGTAGTGAATGCACGGGCAGTCCTCCGGCCACCGAGCTGCCGCTCCGTAGGTCGGTTGGTCGGCAACATTGTTGTAGCGCGTGCCGTCGGGGCACAAGGCGTACTCGCACGCAGCCGACCCGCCCACACCCCAAAAGTACCCTGACCCGCAGCTCGTCGGCGAGCCCGCTTCCAAGTCGAGGTAAGAGACCGTCCCTTTCCTGCGCCAGCCGTTCCGGCCTGTTGTCGCCAGGTCTGTCGGAAAAGGGAACGTCTTCCACGGCAGCTCGAGCTCGATGCAGCCTGGGCTCAGCGGGGGTGGCGCCGGCGGCGGAGACAACACCGGCGGCGGCGGTTGTGCTGCGGCCCGGATGCACGCCTCGTTCAGTACTCGCGCCCGCCGCCTGTGCGGGTGGTTGTGACAGCAGTCCAGGTCTGGACTGGCGGCGCAGATCGTACAGATCAGGTCGTGCACGCTGGACGGCACCGCGCGCTGATAATCGCTCGCCTTACCGAGGGGCAGAAAAGTCGGATGGGAGCTGAACTGGATGTCGGCCTCGCAGGTGCTGGGGCACGTCTCTTTCACCAGTGCAACCTGCTCTTCAAAGTGATGATTGTCAGAGGAGTGTTCGCAAAGACCAAAGCCGTGCGCCTGCTCACATGTTGGCACAAATCCCGCCGGCTCCAAGCAAGCAGCGGGTCGGATCGGAAGCGGTGGCGGCGCAAGCAGCGGGTGTGTGATCGGGGGCGGCGATGCCGATTGCGGAATCGGCGGCGGGGGTGGTGGAGGTGGACTCGTGAGGTGTCCCTCCACAACTCCGGTGGCTGATGACGAGGAGGCAGACGAGCTGCTGCCACCCCTCCCTCCCCCGCTTGCAGCGGCCGCTGCAGCAGCGGCCGAGGAGGCCCCACTGGCGGATGCAGCACTAGAGGATGACGCGGCAGTAGACGAAGTCGCACCGCACACCAGCGTCAGAAGGGCTAATGAGTGCAGCACTCCGCGCCGGCCCACCGCGTTGCTGTGGATCAGCCGCATGCCAGAGACAATGCGCCGGCGTAGACGTCCACGATGCCATCGAACATCGATTACGATTAGGGATCCCACATAATAAGGGGGGGACGAGCTTGCCGTGGGGGGGGACGGGCTCGCGGCCGTCAAAAAAGTCCTAAACCCTGGGGCCAGGGCTGCGGCGGCGGACAGCCCGACGGGGACGCCACCACCCTCGCTCGCCCATCCCGTGTTCCCGTGTTCCCATAACAAACATCGGAGTTAGTTACGGCGAAAGGTGAGAGAAGCCGCGAGAGCAAGGGCTTGGCAGGCGTCGGCGCCGTCGGACATCTGTCGTTGGTGGGTGCCCCGCCGCGCCAGCGTCGCGCAGCAGCTGGGCGCACTCGAGGTGGCCGTAGTGGCACGCGATGAACAGCGGCGTGGCGCCGTCCTTGGCTTGGTTGACCGCCGCGCTCGCCTCGAGAAGCAGCCGGACGCACTGGTCATGGCCCTGCAGCATCTCACGGTGCACATGGAGAATATCTGCCGTGCCGCTAGATCTATTTTCACGCTACTCAGCACGCCCCCCGGTTAAGCTGCAATGCAAAACTCTTTTTACCACCTTCAAGTACACCCCCAAGACTCCCCCAAACCGGGAGCGGCACACAGCTTATCACTTCACGGGGGGCCAGAGGCAGGAGCTCGACTCGCCGCTAGGAAAAGTGTCGCTCGGATTACGACCGTAATCCACTTTGTGGTTCTGTGTGGATGCCAGTAGTCGGAAGCACGAAACGTTAGCTGGTGAGGTGCCGCTGCTGTCGCCAGAGACGCCAACCGAGGAGGCGTTCCCATCTTCTGCGGCATCGCTCCCGGCAACCTATCCGCCCTCCCCCATGGAGCCCGCTCGTTGCGCCACCAATCCCTTCCTCGACACGCGCATCGTCGCGAGTGATGACAGTGACATGCAACACGGGGTCCCAGGGAAGGCGAGCAAAAACCTTATCGCGCGCGCTAGACGCCGACTCGGAGGCCGCACCGGTCAGGCGCGCAGCCGGAGAGAGAGGGAGGCGCTCAATCGCCGAACTCGGCGAGCGTCTCCAGCGTCTCCGCTTCGTACGCACCCTCCTCCCAGCAATTGAGCGCCTCCTCCACCCCCGCGCCCGCGCCCGCAGCGTCCGTGCCCGCGAGGATGGCAGCGACGCGCTCCTTCTGCCGAGCGTTCGCCTCCGCCTTCGCCTCCTGGGCGTCCGCCTCCATGACCCGCACCACCTGCTCCCTCCACACGGCGACCCGCCCGCTCTCACAGGTAGAGGGTGCGCAGCGTCCTAATCGAAAATCTGAGGATTCAGGATTGAGGCATCGCTTCAGTGAGGCCAAAGTGAGTTTATGGATGGGTGAGAACGATGCGCGACACGAGGAGGCACGCGGACCGACTCGTCGGTGACTCTGCTGCACGCCGTTTCAGATTTTTTCTCAGCGTGAGCGAGACGTGGTTCTCGAGGTAAGAGTGCCACCGTCCTGCCACCGACATCAGGCCGGAAGAATTTAAACAAGACAACTCTCTCACACAGCACACAGGCTCGACACAGGTGCGAACTGGCGCGTGCTAGTACTATCACCGGCACACCAGGCCGGAAGAAATCAAGCGACCGGAACAAGCCGAGAACAATACACATGTGTGTGTATATATATGTGTGTGTAATGCTCGCCTTCACTACCGCGCTCCACGCGTTCGCCACCCCTAGCCGGCTCGGCCCTCGCCCAGCAGCGCCCTGCGTGCAAAACATCGCAGCGTTGCCGATTCAGCGTAACGTGGCGCCGGTACTGCAGCTCGCCAGCGATAGCATCCTGACGGCGCAGATGCGGCGGGAGATGGCCTCCGAGCCGCGGCTGGCGGACTTTGCGGTCACCGGCGACCCGCAGTTTGTGCGGCACACCGCCGAGGACGACCCGACCAAGCCTCTCCTCCTGTACCTTCCCGGCATCGAGCTGTCGGGCTACTCGCTCCACCGGCAGCTTCCCGGGCTCGCAGAAGACTTCTGCGTCCGCTGGCTGGCCGTACCGCCGGACGACCGGTCCAGCTTCGAGGCGCTACGCGAGGCCGTCACCCGCGAGGTCGAGGCGGAGGAGGGGCGGCCCATCTACCTGCTCGGTGAGTCGTTCGGCGGCGTCCTCGCGCTCAGCGTTGCTCAGGCGCATCTACAATAGATGCGTATCTCCTGAGAGCTCGCACACACCGCCTCGCCTGCACTGGCACCGTGTGCGTCCTCGCGTGCGCGTGTGCCTTCGTCCGTGCTAGGACGTGCGAACGACTAGCCACTGACTGACTGTCCAATCGTACTCCTGTGCTAGAGGTGAGAACGTGCGACGGCGATGGATGGCGGTGGAGGTGAGAGCGTGAGACGGCGATGGATGGCGGTAGAGGTGAGGACGTGAGAAAGGGCGATGAGACGGCGGTGGAAGTGAGAGCGTGAGACGGCGATGGGCGTCGGCGAACAGAGGGGGGAGCGGTAGGACAAGCGTCTCGGGGCACGGCGCCTGATTGAGAGGACAGCGTGGGCGACTCTGCGCGTGTGGTTGACCCCTCTTGACCGCTCCCTTAGGGTACCCGAACCCACCCTCCCATACCCCTCGGTACCCGAACCCACCCTCTTGCCCGCTCCCTCAGGGGGCCGACGGCAAGCCGCCCTCCTCGCTCGCCAGCCTAGAAGCGGAATACGTGCTCATGTCTCCCAACCAGCACTCGAGAGGACACGTACTCAGCCGTATTCCGCTGTATCCACCGTCTACGAGAAGCGGAATACGTGCTCATGTCTCCCAACCAGCACTCGAGAGGACACGGACTGCGCTGCATTCCTCTCCGTTGTATGCCTGCGTTGCTCGGCATACGCCGCATACCACCGTCTTCACGCCCTCATGTCGGCGTATTCAGCACGTAGGCTCGCCGGAGTCGCCCTCGTCAACCCCGCAACCTCCATCGGTCGCTCCTGGCCGGCACAGCTGCGCCGCC